TCCGAATTACAAAGGACATGGCAAACACAAGCAAGAATATGTCCCAAATAAGTCCAACAAAAATAATAAGTAATTGGTCTGTTGGAGATGCTTCAAGTTGAGACATTGCAAGCGTGATTGTCGTGTGAATCTAGGCAATAATGGTGCTGGAAACAATAGAACAAATGGAATTGGAAGTGGGTCTAAGGACCAGGTGAAAGGATGTCAGTATTTGACTAACTTTGATAATTCTAAACAGAATTATGTTTATCATGTTTCACTTATTTCTGAATCATTCTATGTACAAGATGGTGATGTTGCTTGGTGGATCGACTCAGGTGCAACAAACCATGTATGCAAGGATGAACAGTTGTTCGAAACATTAACACAACTTGAAGATGGATCTGTGTTGCACATGGGATACAATTCTCTTAAACCTATTTGTGGTGTCGGTTTCGTTAATCTTGAATTTACTTTTTGAAAGATTGTTAAACTTTATTGATGTTTTGTTTGTTCCTAAGATTCGAAAGAATCTTGTTAGTGGTAGTTGTTTGAATCTAGATTATATTCAAAATTCTGTTTTTATGTCATCATCTTCTTCTAAAATTGATGACTCCATGATTTGGCATGCTAGATTGGGTCATGTCAATTTTAGAAAGATACATGAAATGTCAAAAGATGGTCTTATTCCACCATTTGACATAAATCTAGAAAAATGTAAAACATGCATGCTTACAAAGATTACAAAACAACCATTTCCTAATGTTACTAGAAAATCAGCTATTTTGGAACTTGTACACAGTGACCTGTGTGATTTCCACTCTCCTCGCGCCCCCTTGCGGGGTTCTAGGGGTAGCACCCTAGCAGGTTCCGAGGTCTGTACCTCGGTTCGAAAAAATATTGATTTTCTTAACAAAAATACAGTGGAAAAATCTGATTTCAGTGATCAATATTGGCATTTCGGCTCTTGACCTTGAGCCACTTAACCATGTGTCCTATCCATGAAATTTGGGTCTGTTGGATTAACTAATCCAAATGAAGACAACCTGCATTAATGGCAGCCCTGTTTATCAAAGATTTGGTAGACGCATTTATCAAAGATTTGGCAACCACATTTGTCAAAGTTAGGTGCAACTCACAGAATATAGTTGATCTCAGTGGCAGACCTTAGTGGTGCCCGGGGGGTCCCGGGCCACTGCTCCGATTCCGGCACGTAGTGTAATTTTTTTTTATTTTATGTTTTTTTATGTTTTTTCTATTAGGTGCACCGGCTTAAAATACGAGTGCCACTACTAATTTGGATTTTTTCGGAAATTTTTTTAGTGTCACCCCTACTAAAACCTTCTGCGTCCGCCACTGGTTGATCTGCTGCTGACTAATGCAGATGAGGACATAACCCATTTGTCAAAGATTTTAGCTCCTTTGTGGAGCCACACAAGATTATAAAGAAAGCTCTTCTCATTGAGCAAGAGAGGGTTTTTCTAAGGTCTTATTCTTCTCTAAACATCCAAAGAACTCTCTAGCTAATTGGCTTGCGTTTTCTGTGCCTAGAATCGTAAGTGTCCATTTGGATTATCCAAGACTGGATTTCTTGTAACCCGGGTATAGGGTAGAAATATCAGTTAGGAAAGTGTCTATACACGATCCACTGGGAATCCAGATTTCCACTATTACCCTTTATATTTTTCTAACACTGCCTACGGATCCCCTTATTCATGAGTTCACATTTGACACTCCGAGTGTGCACCCCGCACCTCCAATCTCAGATAGAAAACAGAACTCAGACTGTGTCGATAACAATATTAACTACACTAAAATATGTTGATAACACTAAATCACCAACATATTTTGTTTCAAACATCACATATTATTTATCTTTTGATAGGTTTGTTTTTAAGGTAAATATCCTTTAACTCAATATGAGGAAATACAACGATATTCCGAGTATAATTGAATTGTCAAGTGAAATGAGATGCTGTCTTGAAGAATTTACAAATGAATAAATGATGATGATCTTGTACAACGAGATAATATTGTTTAGAATGTTTCTCAAGATTTGAGACGAATGCCAGAAAAAAAAAACAATCCTTTATAAATAAACTGATTTCATCTAAAAATCTAATATGATTAAAAAAAGAAATATCATATTACATGAAATAGTGAGATGAGAGATGACCATATTGTAAACTATTTGGCTTAAAATGGAAATATGATAAAATCTCAAAAACACTTCTCTTAATGATGTGCATGAGTGAAACCCTTTAATGGGTTATGACTTTGACTACGTAAAACAAGACTCTAGGGGAACTATTAGTCGTCCACTTCAAAAGGATTTATTTATACCAAGTTACCAACTAATGCTACTATGCCTTTTTTATTTATGGAGTTTAATAAGACCAATTGAATAAGGGCCGCTATTGATATGTTTTTTATTAAGTTTGGTAAAAGGGTGATACCACAATTAATTTTTTTTTGATTTGTTTTCATATCTCCCACATGTTTTTTATTAAGTCTATTCAATCAAACTTTAACTTAATAAGATTTAACAATCAATATTATCAAACAACCTCTAAAACCAAGATTTAAACTTGATTTTGTTTTAAAAATATGAAATAATTAAAAGAACAAAAGAACAACAAACAAACAACGGTTGGAACGCTTGGTAAAATTACCAATGATGTTAAAATGACAATGATTTTTAAATTAAAAAAAAACATTTGAGGCCCTTTAAGAGAAAAAAAAATTAAAACTTGATGCAAAATTAGAAAATAAACTTTATTTGGCATTTGCATACCAATTAATTAATTTTAAACTTTTAAAAGTTAATACGTGTTCATACTTCTTAAACACGTGGATTTTAAACAGTAATTACGCCAATCTTTCCAAAATTTACGATAATAAAAGACAAGATATGTGATGACAAAAAATATGATTAAATATGTAACTTGAATAAGAAAATATAATTCATATAGATATACTATATTCCTTAACTGTAGAACTTCAAGAAAACGACATTAGAAATTTAAAAGTCTGTGTTTTTTAAATTAACTTTTAAATACCACTTAGTTGGTGTAAATGGTTATAATTAGAAGAAAAAATGGGAAAAATATTTTGCAAAACATTGTTAATCCCAAATTATGACTGAGTATATATGTCAGATGGTATATATTAAATCAAAATAAAATAGTGTAAGTGATTTGTGATACTATAAAAAGTTATTTATTTATCAAGGGGTGATGATCCTTACATAATATTTTTTAGCCATGTGTAACAAATTATGTTTTATATAAGTGTACAATACAATCATATAAAACATAAATTACTATGTAAGTCTAAAAAGTGTTGTGTATTATAATTTACTATTTAGTAAAATCATACAAGTAACTTATTTTGACTTATGATATAGTTTATAAACTAACTTTTACTGTAATAAATTATTTTAAGATAGCTTTTGATAAGTTTGTAAAGCTTTTCCAAAAATATTTCAAATATGTTATAATTATATATATAGTTTTCTTTTAGTTATATATCTAAATGTCAATTAATGTTATTTTATATTGCCATCTAGCTTATAAATTATTTTTGAGATTTTTTAATTTGTACCCTAAGAGCAAACATAATAAACATTAATTATGAAAAATATTACAATAATTAAATGTGAAATGTATTAATTATATGAAATATTTTTAATTGAAAATATAAAATATGTTAATTATAAAGAATATTTTATATAATTAATACACTTCACAATTAATTATAATAATATTTCTAATAGTTAATGCTTTTTATATGTATCCTTAAAATATATATTAAAAAATCTCATTATTTTTTATCAAATATTATTAATTTATAAACTAACATATTATTAGCTATCAACTAGTTATTTAGGTCAAACATAACCTAAGATTAATTTTCTAAAACAAAAGATTATGTTATCAGATTTTTCAAACATGTCAGTTTTCTAAGAAAATTAGAATTTATTAAGAAAAAGATTTCATTGTGTAAAAGTTTTGTTTAAGGTAAGCAAGTTAGATTTTTTAGCAATTTTTACATTTAAAGTAGGATCAAGCTAGGGTCAATAATGACAACCCATTATTACTTGAATATGTATGGTTTTAAAGTGACCCACGTGGCTTTGTTATAAAAAAGGATAAAAAGAGAAAGAAATATTACTTTTATTGTTGGATTTTATAACATGCTTCAGACTATTACCTAAAAAAGTATAAAGGACTTAATTTATAATAAATGAAACTTAAGGGGGTTTAACAGAACATTTTGTCAAACGACAAAACCCCTTTTCACTTTCAGTCCATTTTCTCTCTCAACAAGTTTCAGTTTTTCTTAGTTATAAGAAAACGTACCATTTTATCCTTCTTCAATCCGTCTGTCTCACACAGAATCACACATATCTGTAGGATTCCTTTCGGTTTCCGGCGAGATGTCTGCGCATGAACAGTTATCTCCGGCGTCTCCGCCTGCCTGACATCCGACTCCGAGATCAGATTTTTTTATCAGCTCCGGTGACACTCTAATCGCCGGGATCTGTCATCGTTCTACGGTTAGATTCTAATGTTTCATGCCACTTCTCTATTTTGATCTCGGTTATTCCAACATCTGATTTTAATTCGCTATATTCAAAAAATTGAGTGAAAGGTTTTAAGCTTTTCATGGATTTTGATTGATTGAAGAGGCCGAATTGATGTGTATTGCCTTAGTTGCTTTCCTCTGTCTGATTTCCGGTGAGTTTCGTTTGGGGCTTTTTCAGGAAATTATGATTGGCCTAAATTAACGGATAGGATGAAGAATAGTTGGAAAGATCAAATTTGGATTTTAGTTTGTTGAGATGATGACGTATAGTAGTGTTTCAAACTTCAGGCTTTGATTTTGTGTAGCTAACTTGTTCGCCTTTAGAATAATTTAGTTTGCACAGATGGATCATGAGCAAAATCGTTAAGATTCCAACAGAAGTTGCTAAGTACTTTTCATAAGATCAAACAACTTCTTCTCAGTTCTCAGGAAACATGAACAACGAGAGAGGAGATTTCCAATTCTTCCATAGTCGACTGAATCAAACCTCCAATGATTCTCTTCTTCCTGGACTATACGACGATGTAGCCCTAATTTGTCTAGCCTGGGCTTGTAGATTCGATTACGCTTCACTCTCCTGCTTAAACATCCGATTCAATTCCCTCATGAAAACAGGCTACCTCTACGAGCTACGAAAGCAACTAGGAATCATAGAGCATTGGGTATACATGGTGTGCGATCCCAGAGGTTGGGAAGCATTCGATCCAATCACCAAAAACTGGATGAGGCTTCCCAAAATCCCTTGTGATGAATGTTTCAACCACGCAGATAAAGAATCATTAGCTGTAGGGAGTGAATTGTTAGTTTTCGGGCGTGAACTATTCGAATTTGCTATATGGAAATACAGCTTAATCCATAGAAACTGGGTGAAATGCGAAGGAATGATTCACCCCAGGTGTCTATTCGCGTCAGGAAGCTTAGGAACAATCGCCATTGTTGCAGGAGGTAGTGATCAAAACGGAAACATTCTAAAATCTGCTGAGTTATACGATTCATTAACAGGTAGATGGGAAATGCTTCCAAACATGCACTCCCCTAGAAGATTATGTTCAGGTTTTTTCATGGATGGAAAGTTTTATGTAATAGGAGGAATGACAAGCCCTAATGATTCATTAACCTGTGGTGAAGAGTTTGACCTCAAACTCAAAAAATGGAGGAAAATTCCGGGCATGTACCCGAATGTAAACCGGGCAGCCCAAGCTCCACCACTTGTAGCGGTTGTTGATAATGAGTTATATGCAGTTGAGTACTTAAGCAATATGGTTAAGAAATATGATAAGATTAAGAACTTATGGGGTGTTTTGGGTAGACTTCCAGTTAGGGCTGACTCATCGAATGGTTGGGGGTTAGCTTTTAGGGCTTGTGGGGATGAACTTTTGGTGGTGGGTGGACAAAGGGGTGGACCAGAAGGTGAAGCTATAGTGATTAATTCATGGTGCCCTAAATCTGGGGTTAAAAATGGTATTTTGGATTGGAAGATTCTTGGTGTTAAAGAACATGCTGGTGTCTTTGTTTACAATTGCGCTGTCATGGGTTCTTAAACTTATCTCCAAATCTTCAAACCCTAATTACAGGTTTTTAGTCACCCTTTGAACTTATCTGATTAACTTTTTCTTTTCTTTTCTTTTTTTTTAATTTATTTTCGTTTGTGTACTTTTATTTGTGGTAATAAATTGGAAAAAAGGTATATTGTTTTGAGGTGTATCATGATTCATGTATGTTACTACTTACTAGATTTTTAGAGTTAAGGAGTTAAGGGTAGATTTGGAATAGTGATGAATTAGTTTTGAAGCAAAGGGGAAAAGGGTAGGGGTAGGGGTAGGGGTAGGGGGGTGGGGTATGATTGAAGTCAAAAAGAGGTGATTGGGTGTTTGGGCAGCAAAGTTTTTGTAGTTATTGAATGGAACATGTGGAGGGGGTTTAAAAGAGCCCCTATGGCCCACCAAATTGTCCTTCATATGGCAAATATTAGCTGTGTTTTGACAGTTCATCTTTACTCAGATGAAAGAAAACTCATTCCTTTTATGGAATCATGTAGGCCCTTTTTTTATTTCTTTTTTTAATATTCCTATAATCTTATCCCATATTTTTATAATTAGTCAATAGATATTTATTTGCATTATATATGTAGGTAAAAAACTAAAAATGGTGAATAGTGAATAGGTAATGTTGTCTGAATCCATTATATTGTGTATGATTTGAGGAATAAAAAAACATATCTAGATTGAATTGTTGGATTTTATTATGTATTTAATTTAATGGGAAACTTGTATTATAATAATCGAATTTGGAACATGTGGGCATGATGGTGGGTTAGAAAATGAGTTTGAAGTGGGCCAAGTTGTTCTGGCTCGGGTTTTTTATTTATGATTAGAGGGCAAAGTGGTTAGTGGCACCCGGCAATGAGTGGTTACTATCATGGATAAGACAAAAGAAATAGGAGGGGTAGGAATGACTTTTCAAATGTTTTGAAAGACTCTAAACGAATCCAACTTTTTAAGGGGTGTTTTTGACATTTTGTAAATCACATGGGCTTCGTTGGCCCAACAGCTGAGATGGGACGTAAATCTTTAATCTTGAGTAGACAATCTACATGTGATTCTAGCCTTTGTGGACGACTAGACGTTGACATTCATTTCAAATTTATATTTTGGACTTCATATTTCTAAAAGAATTAATTATTGGAGTATGAATATCACTATTAAATGGCATGAAGCGGACCTTAGACAGCGACAAATTATCATATTCAAATTTACTGTTGTATAATTTAATTCGTGTGAAAAATCAATGGGTTAAAGTTTTTGATTATGGGCCGGCTGTCAATAAATATATTGTTAACTTTAATACCAAAGGTTACACTTAAATTAACATGAAGTTTTGACTTCCATTAAACATTACGATAATGATTCGTTTACATCTTGTATTATCTTTAGTATATTGTTTGTTAGTTGTTATTGTTTGATTTTATCAGCATAACAAATGAAGAAACCGCGAAAATAAAATAAAAATAAAATTAAAAAACCGAAATCGAAAAAAACCGATGGTTTAGATTTTCTAAAATTAAAAATGAACTATTACTTTTTGGTTTCGGTTTTACCTTATCAATTTACCCCTAATTTAATATAGTTTGTTTACTAAACGGATTACAAACTAAAGATATATTTTGATATTTATAAATAAGATTTTGTTTGTTTGTTAACCACCACTTGATACAATTATATATTGGTTAGGTTTAATTCAAAAGTTATAAATATATATTTTATTAATTATAAGAATAAGAATGTCCATCTAAAAACTATGATATAATCTCTAATTTTGTCTAAATCAAAGGATGTCCATGGGCACCCTAAATCGGTGTAGCATTGCCTTTGTATATCCTAAATATAATAACTATTCATTATAATATTATGTAATTATAAGTATATAAAAATGTGTTCTAAATATAATTTTGTTATTTAACAAATGTCATTTTAATAAAATAAATCCTAATTCAAATTAATAATATAAAACAATTAACTGTTATAGATTTTTAATAATATATTTTAATTTTTTTACCTAAAAATATATAAAAAAAAATAAGTAAAAAGATAATAATTAAATATATATTAAAGATTTGTTTTGGTGTAAATAATGGTATAGGATTAAAGCTGAAATACTATTTGACTATTTTATATTATGTAAAAAAAATGATATATGGTTAGAAATAGTCTAAGTCATAAGATATTTTATTTAAGAGTGAAATGAATAAACATAATATTTTGCTATACAATACTTAAAAGCTGTCACTTTCCTCACAAATTATAATTATGATAATATTTTAGTAATATTTGAATGCTTAAAATGTTCTCTAGATATAAAATCAATGTTTACATTAAAAATACTTTATAGAGGACAAATAAATAATTTTAGACTTGAATCTTACTAATTAATAATTTTAAAAAAAAATCAATAGTTAGGACTACAATGTGGTTTAATTACAAAATTTTCGAATACAAGTATACAACTTTTTTTCTCTCGAAAAACTAGAATTTAAAGCTGAAAATGCTAAAACTACTTTGTCTATTTATGTTATGAACAATCTGTTTAAAACCACTCATTCCTACTTGCTGTGCGATTCCTTTTTCCTTTTTTAACATACGCTTTATACGTCCAAGTCCATTTCCTTTTTACTTTAATTAAATAAAAACAGAAATTTTCAAAAATTAAAACAAAAACAAAATTCAATAACTTTTACTTTCCAACTAGAAGTTTAAATGAATACGTACAAGCAATATGTTAGACCTCCATATTTTCTTTGACATCTATTATTCTTATTCGAGAAATTAAATATCTTCCTACCTTTTGATCCTATTAATCCTCCTACCCATTTAAATGATGACATGTGTCATATTAGTATCCTAAAATATCATTAAATGAACATTAAATGTTACACATGTCATCATTTCATTGGGTAGGAGGATATGTACGAACAAAGAGTAGGAGGATATTTAATTTCTCTATTCTATTTTATCATTTTGAGAATTCGAGAATTGAGATTCAGACAAATGTCTGGGCCTTAGGACACAAAAACCCAGCCCAAACTAACTTGGTGCATAAACAAGTAGAGTTTGATGGGCTAAAAAAGGTAAACTCATCACTCATCACACATGTGAGAAAACTATTTTGTTATTAAAACATAAAAGAATAAACTGTCTTTTAATGAATCCACTTAAAATGATTTGTTATGATAATATAATCACATACAAAAAAATCCCGAATCCACACCTACAAAACAATGTTCTTATCGTCTGATATCAGATGACCGGTATACAGATGAACTATATACAGACATAGACATAGACAGTCATCAGATATCAAATATCAACGATAGAAAGACTTCGAATTATTCACCATACAACAAGAAACAACCATTTTTAAGCAACCGGCCTTCGGTGAACAAAAACACCAGCATTCTAAGACCATTAAAAAGGCTCAAACAATCCTTGCATCTACTATTCCCACAATCAACACCATCCAAACATCGAATAAACATCTCATCAACACCACAAATCGCTCCACTTTCAAATAACTCAAACAACACTTTGATATGTGTAACCCCTGCATTCATCATAAGCACCACAAAATCCCCATCTTTTGCAGTCTCCTTAAACCAGTTAATAAACTCAAATCGTTCTTCATGCAATGGAGCTTCAAGATAATCACCATTGTCAACACTAGTACCAATCTTTTCATCATCTTCAACAAGACCCGGATGATAAACAAATGTCACACCACGCTTTTTCACATAATTAGAAAAAGCAGACACGTTATGATCAACTACAAACACATTGAATTCCTTTTGATCGATTGGATAATTAGCTTCAAATTCCGATTCGTATGTCCCCATGTTGATGTAAATCAACCTGTTTCTTGATGAAACGTTCATGAATTTTGGCAAGTAAGAAACCTCGTTGAATTTTCGATCCATGAGAGGCTCGATGTGTTGCATGTACGGTTTGTTTTTGGAAATGGATGAGCATTCGTTTGGGAGCTTATAATATTTGAAAAATTCGACATTATCTAAACGTTTCTTGAACACGATCAGTGCAAATGATCCGATTCCACAAACATGGAGGATTTCAGACCTTCTCAAGAGTAATGAAACAGGTGTAGCGGATCTTACCAGGCTACCCATGTTGAAGGTGGAGAAACGTACAAGCATGGCGGAAATACCACCAGGTTTTAGAACGCGTTCGATTTCTAGAACGAGAAGAGGTGGAATGGGAACCTTATGGTAGATTCTACACATGATGAAATCGAAAGAGTTTGTTTTGAAGTCGAGTTCATGATCGATTGGATTCTGGAAAATCGATGAGATTCGAAATGCGTTGGTGATTCCTAATTCTCGAAGTGTTAACAAATCTGAATCTGAACCCTCGCCTATGGATAATGTTCGTGAATCGAGGCTAATCATCTCCTTGTTTATCAACTCTTCGATCACACCACGAGTCAGATTCTTCGTGTGTAGATATCGAAACAGGTTGAGATCCAACGAACATTTATCGAAATTCTCGAAGATCGGTTCATTCGTTCGAATTTCATACGCCATACGACTGATACGAGTGAATGAAACGATAACAATAGCCAACATAAAACATAAACTCCCTAGAATCAATCGCCTTGTTAATGCCACGCGAATCAGTTGCCATTTTAAGGCTTTGAAATCCATTTCGAAATATGTTGTGATCGATTGAAGTAAGACGTGTAGAAGTTACGAAAAATCAAAGAGCGACAAAAACTGGAGTGATTTAGCGAGTACAAAACCTGGAAGAGGTGTGATTTCCACCCACGAGTAATACCGTTGAAGTTTGTAACCCTAACCATGCCTTCATCGGACTCCTCCTCACCATCGTCGTTTCGAATAGTTTCTGAACCATCGTAAACTGAAAATCGAAAACCTACATTATTGAATTTGGAAAAATGGAATCTTTACGTGTTAATTTAACAAGGAAATCGGTTTGAATTTGAGGAAGAAGAAGAAGGTATATAGGAGTAATGGCGA